AGCTTTCAGGGATCCACTCATTTCTCAGTTCAAGTTTTGACACATGCCACTTTCTGCAGCTCTGCACGGTCTTCATGGAAGTGATTGCAGTGACTGTAGGCAAAAAACAAAAGCTGGAATCTAAACGTTTAATCTCAATAATCCAGGTCCAGTGTCAAGACGAAATGATATATTGCAGTATTTTCTTAATTATTAATACTGAGAGGATACTAAACTTTGATTTGGTTCAAAGGTCTCATTTTAAATGCACTGCAGTCTGACTGTGTTAACGTCTTAGCTGCTTGGTGTGCTGTGTTTTGGTGCTTGATTTGCTGTGATGACTTTTTCCTCAACCACTGTTGATTGTAATCATGCTTGACATGCTTTGCTGTCTTCACCCTTTGGCATTAAGAAATTTCTAATTTTTTAAGATAAAAGAAAAGTGTGTTAGACCTTAAGCCAGTCTGTGTGACTATCAGCTGTGCAGATGACACCAACATAATTGTATTTACTGTTCTTTCTTTTTGCAGATGAAAGAAACAATTATGAATCAAGAAAAACTTGCGAAGCTACAAGCGCAAGTCCGCATCGGCGGCAAGGTAACTGGCAAAATACATGCAATATGAAATAAATGTAGTAAATCTTTGCAAACTACTTGATAGTATTTGCTATATCTCAGCGCTGTGAGACAAACATTTTCCAGGATTTACAACCAAGATATTACAAATACGTCCACATAAACTAACCTGATAAAGGCAGTGAAATGAATACTTAACTGAAATAAATGTGTGAAGGAGAGTTTAGATGCTGTGAGAAACTGACAAAATCTTTAATAAAAGTATGAATGTAAAGCCATAAAATTTGAGCACAGGCAGTGAAGCTACTTCCAACTTACACTCTAAAAAGCTTTCTGTGGCGAGTTTATGCACAAGTTGAAGTCTGATAGTTTTGTCGCATAGCAGTGGGACTGCTTTGTTTTGGCTATCACGATTATTTGATCAATACTGAGATCAACTGTTCTTTGATTTTAAGGAACTAAATGTTTTTAATGCATTTCCACCTTTAAATCAACAGAGCTCTGCTTTCACGTCCATGTTGTGTTATGTTCAAGCTAATCTTTGCATGAAAGTAGGACTAATACAAGTAGAGACAAACAATCTTAACATGAATTGAGAGCATCTACTTGAGGCAAAAATGTAGTAAAATAATACCCAAAACGCCTCACTTGCTTAACATCTCTTAAAGTTTAAATCAAAGGATTTTATCTCCATTAGTGGCATTTTCTATGAGCGGAGTGCATTTGAAATATCAATCATGTTAATTGAATGATGGGAAACCCACATTGTGATTATGATCAATATTCAGTAATTGTTCACCCCCACATAGCAGCAGTATGATGTATAAAGCAAGTTTATTATTGTAGCACCTTATCATACACAGATGGGAGTCCAAGTGCTTCACAGGCAAAGGTATAAACTTATAACGTAGAAGATGAAATAAGGCAGAGTCAAATGAAGTATATTAAATTGGATAAATCAAAAACACTACAAAAGAGTTGAATAAAGTGCACACAAATTTGATAGAATTACTCGTATAATGAAAAAATGGACTAAAACAGCAAAAAAAAGATAAAGATAGGAAAAATAAAAACATGTAGATGATAAAGTGCACAATAAAATGGAACAAAGGAATCAAATGTAACATTTAAAAGTTGATTCCTGGTTATGTTTGCTACAAAACATGATAAAGATCTGGAGGTTTACACAGAAATATGTTTGCACGAATGTCCACACAGGGTAGCGCTCGCAGAAAGAAGAAGGTGGTACACAGAACGGCAACCGCAGATGACAAGAAGCTCCAGTTCTCCCTAAAGAAACTTGGTGTCAACAACATCTCTGGTATTGAGGAGGTAGGCACAAGGCTTCACGTCAGATTCAAAGTGAATCCGTGTTAGTTTAGCGTTAACGGTGTGCGAATTCGCTCCGTTCCAGGTCAACATGTTTACAAATCAAGGAACAGTCATCCACTTCAACAATCCCAAAGTGCAGGCCTCCCTCGCAGCCAACACCTTCACCATCACTGGCCACGCTGAGACCAAGCAGCTGACCGAGATGCTGCCGGGCATCCTGAACCAGCTGGGAGCCGACAGCCTGACGAGCCTCAGGAGACTCGCCGAGGCTCTGCCCAAACAGGGTCAGTAACCTCCAATTATAACGTAGCGTCTATCACACCGCAGGTTTCGAGCTTTATTTTCTGTTTAGTCCAACTCTTCCTCTCCAGACTGTTTCCAGAGAAGGATCTTGGCCCTCAGGGTGTAATCTTAATCGTTTCTGGCCACTTCAAGCTTCTCACAGCTCATTTCTCTTCTTACAGCTGCAGATGGAAAAGCGCCGATTGCGGCAGTAGAAGAAGAAGATGACGATGTTCCAGGTGAGTGTTAGCATTTCTCACTTTGCATTACATTTAGCAGCAGTCTGTTCCACCGGTTAAAGTATAATATTGTTTAAACATCTCAAGAAGAATCTGTTTGTCTTCCATCGAACGGCTTTCGCGGTTTCATTTGGAAGTCTTCCTTCACACTTGTCGATTATAGCAGCAGGATTTTTTATTTTTTTCATTCCCTCTCAGTTAAATACCCGTGGCAGGTTTGCTTTTCTTTTGGCTTGCGAAAGAGGTCATACGAAGGGGATTCATCAGTTACTTTTGACGATGGTGCAATACGGGCTTTTGTGTTTGAATCTCATGCTCATTGTTTATAAGATTGTACGATACAGTTTGCTTTTCTTTGTGAAGAAAATGGACCAAACACATGAGGTTGCCATTACAATAATCTCAGCTTTTCCCAGGACTTCTCTCCCTCTAGCTCGGGTTCTCACTAATGTAACAAACGATTACATATGTATTCAGCAATTGGAGCCGCTGAAGCCTGATGGCACCGAGGTTAACAGCCATTGCCATCACATTGTTATTGGAGTTAAGTTTCCTTTTTGTTCTCCCACTGAAGGAACATGTTTACTCAGAGCTTTTGAATTGTTTCCATTTTAACCTCCGACCCTGTGAGCCATGACTTGGACAGGCAGATTTCTCACATTTCATGGAGTAATTGAGGCCAACTTTTTGATGCTCTTTGCCTCAATTTTTACAGCTGCTTTCAGTAGTTTTTGAGGGCCTCATATGTCGAGCACATTGCGGTCTATATAAGATGTGGGAGAGATGAGCAAAGGAGCGGGGTTGCGTTACACCGAGTATCATGTTTCACATAAACACACTTTTCCTGAATTGAGCTCTGGCACCTCAGAGTCATTTGCGCAGATGGACCTGCCTTTCTTTCCCACTCAATCAATTTACCGCTTGTTGTTTCAGATCTGGTGGAGAATTTTGATGAAGCATCCAAGGATGAGGCCAACTAGAGGAAATGGGACTCCCCGGAGTGTCAGAACTTGACAGGACCATGTGGGGCACAAGATGTTATAATGTCTATTTCAAGAGGTGGAAAGTTAACAATTAAAGTACTGGAGAAGATGAATAACGTGTCAACTTTTTGGCTGTGAGCATTCTGTAATATGTGCAACACCTGAACAAAGTACTGGCGTACACTTCAGTGAATTATTTTTGGGTAATTTTCTGGAATAGAACTCTGATGTATTAAAACTGGGGTAGCAGTATTTAAATGTAAGGTATTTTAGTACTCATCCCACCTCTTCGTTGCCACCAGACTCTCCAAATGCTTGTTGTGCTCTGTGGTCTGTATGTCCAGTTAGAGTGAGAGATTGTGTGTAAAATGTGGTGTTTAAGGCTCCTGCTGTACATCTGTTTTCCTCTGTTACTGAACCTTAATTCTGTGGCCTCCTTAAAACCACCATATCTGGAATAAACCTTTGCTACTGTCAGTAAATAGCTAAAATGTGTTGGGTTTTTCTTCCTCAGCTTGAAACACTGCTGCTGCCCTTCTGTAAACTGGCTACAGCGGTCAAGTGTGCAGGTTAATGTTTTAAAGGTTTTTCACCTCATCACATGGCTTACTTCCAGAGAACAGCTCTTGTAAGTGCTTCATTCGTAACTGCATCACTGGAAGATTCAGACATTTGTAGACATATAATGCAGGAACATGCCACCCATATTGAGCAGACGCATTATAAATAAATGGTGTGATTAAAAACAAAATTCACATTTTAACCCATAAATTCTGCCATGCTACCAACATGTTAGCATGTGGGCTTGATTAGATGTTCATGACATTTTTACACACATATACAGTCAAATCCTGCTGGTTGGTGATCCTCTCACTGTGTGCTAGGCCTTTCTGGATTATTGTGAAATGCTTCCACAACAAATAAATAGACTGTCAACACATCTGGTTCACACATCCATCCTTGTGTGTCACACTAACGGTGATCCCATCACTTTTAATCTGGTGCTATCATGAGGTCTGAAATTTGCATTGTACTTTGGTGAATGAACAGATTCCTGCAAAAACTAAACATTTATAGTCTGTATCAGTTGGAAATATTTTGACTTGCATGCATATTAACTATTATGCGCATGTTGTTTGCAGTCTGTTTATCTGTGCTTTAATCTTAAAATTTCAGATCGTGAAGTATCAGGAAAGGAAAAGACACAAGTAAAAGAGTTAATTTGTACTTCAGTACTTGAATATACGCACTTACTTTCCATCACTGCCGGCTGAAGTTAAATAAAAATAGTTTTATCTAGAAACTCCACAGCTGTGAAAAGAAACTTGATTAAATAATATTCTATACACATGATCTGACCTTTGTTCGGATTATTTCATGATTTTGTTAAATATTGCATCTGTATTAACTATTTCATAATGTGTAAAATTCAGCCCTTTCTTGTTTAGATAAACTACAAACAGCATTTTCCGGTGCTGCTTAAGGCTGAAATGACTAGATTCTCATCTCACAACTGTGTAATCTTGTAGCTAACAATGTCCCCTTGTCCTGCTATCTACAATAAGTCTTCATGGGTGTAATGCTGCTGAATGCACTTTAACAAGACTGATGTTTTAGTTAAACAGCTTCATTTCAGTGAATATAAACAGTGGTTGTACACTTGCAAACAGTTAAATATCTGTACAGAAGGATCACTGTTGCTGAGGTCAATACAAGTTATTTTTAGACATGCCACTCGGTATAACTGGTATAGAACAAAAGTACCTTCATACAGTGGCAAACAGCACCACAATATATTTGTGGGATATTTAATTGCGATGTGAGGTCTTTTAAAATTCACAATACATCTGGACATTTGTATCACAACACAGAGAAACTAAACTGACCTTATAACAGTCTAAATGAATTCAAATAAATAAATTCAATACAATCAACACAAACATTTCCAGTAAACAGATAACAAACAGCTTGGCAACATCATAAAATCACAAAGTCTGTGCAATGTGCCTCAGAAATGTGCTCACTATGAAACCCAGACAGCATGAAAACGAGGTGATTCAAAGTTTTACATTAAAATTCCTTTTCTTTTAAAAACGGTTCATTATTGTGGTTGATAGGTTAGTTTAAAAAAAAAAAGAAGCAAAAAACACAATAATGGGTAAAGGATATTAAATTAATACAACATTAAAGCAGAATCAAGGCAACACTGCGCTGCACATTTGGCAGCATGCTGCAGGTGGAGTGCAGTGTGTGCCTGGCTGTAGTGAACACCTCAGTTTTATTTTTGAAAATCAGTCAGTGTGTCCTGATTAGATTCGCTACTCCACAGTTAATTCAAAAAAAAGTGCAGAGTACAACAGTTTGAAAGAAGGGTAAAATGGAACATTTGCACAGCACAAACCTTCATGTGCATCAGGCTCACAAAATAATATAAATAATATGATGCAACGCTGCTGTAATATCCCTTAAGAGAACAAAATATTCCTGTAGGCCGCCAGCCTGGGCATGCTACGTGATTGTCCAGCGCCCAGCAACATCCTCTCTAGTGCAACAGTTCACTCTCTGATTCCCATCAGTAACTTCAGTAAGTGTGCCTCCATCACCTGTTGAACTAAACAGAGAAACATACAGTGTTTTACTGGACGGAGCTGAACTGAAGAAATTCTGATTGCAATGAAATTAACTGCCAAATAGATGCACTGGTGTTGCAGACTGTGTATGCTGTATGCTCACTGAGCATTAAAAGTGAATAATAATCAAAATATTTACATTCTTATGCAGTTATTCTTTAGTCCATGAGAGGAGAAAAAGGGGAAATTGTGGTGGGAAAAGCAACTCTGTGTTTATTTTAGCAGCCCCTTTCACTTTCTTGGAAGCAGCAGCACTGTCAACAACTTCTCTCCTACTCAGATCACAGTTAAGTGTCACAGGACAAGCTACAATCTACCTCTGGGTTCAGCAGCAGGACAAAATCTAAGTTGTAAAAGCTTCATATCATGATTTATACATTTATAAAGTGTGGCTACTAAACAACAAAACTGGGTTTAAGTAGGTCAAACCACTGAGCAAGCATAAATTACTCTTGAAGGTGTCAACCCATTAATTATTAATGAATTAAAATCCAAAAAAATTTAATTATGACATTTCTCCTATTATTTGATAACCACACCTTGTATAGTAAAAGCAATAACAATTTTTGATTCTCTAATGCATTATTGCTGTGTGCAAATAAAAGTGCAGTGAAATCTTACTAAGAGAAAACTGTATCATTTATTTGAACTAATGTCTAATATTAATACGTTTCTGTAATGAGGTGGGATGATCCTGACAAAGTCTGACAATAACTCCAGAGAATATTCCTACAAGATTCTCAGCCTTTGCGTGTCTTTCCGTCATAAGCATAGCCAGAGACAGACAATGTGTTTATTTTTCATACACACCATTCCGGTGGCCCATAGCCACGGCCATGTCCATTGCATTGAAACCAGAATCTGACTCTATGGTGGGATCAGCACCACTCTCTGGAAGACATAAAACATAGCAAAAAGCAATTACTGTAAATGTTAATGTTAGACACAACACATAAACACAGCTGCTACGTTTATCCCTTAATAAATGTTCATACAAATTACAAACTCTCAGTAAAGGATTTCTTCTTACCTAACAAGATTTCGACACAGCGCACATGGTTGCCATGGACAGCGTACAGCAGAGGGGCTCCTCCGTTCTGAAACATGACAACATTGTTTAATAAACCTCCAAAACAATCTGAATGAAAGATTTGTCTGATACTAAACACATTTGTGAATACAAAAAGCTCTGTATTCTCACCCAGTCATATTCATTGACATCCACTCCACAGTCAATGAGCATCTTCACAATATCTGTGTATCCTTTACTGCAGGCCAAGGACAGAGCACTTTCTCTACCTTTGGCCAGGAGGTTGGGGTCAGCACCCTTCAATGAAAAGAGATGCAGAATGACGAATGATAAACACATAATTAAAAGGGCTTGCTCTAATGTAATAAAATGACGCAATCTGAATAAAACAGAGTGAAATTTTCCATACATTTTGGAGCAGAAATTCAACAACAGCGATTTGTCCATGTGCAGCCGCCCACATCAGGGGGGTGAAGCCTTCCTCATCTTGAAGATTGATTACAGTCTCTATTGACGAAAGGATAAAAAGAGAAACCACATGAAGTGTTGAGCCTGACACAGGTCGAGTCAGTAGAACGTATTTAAAATTAGGGCTAAATGACGCACGATGAAATCACATTGTGATTGTTTTGACGTATATTGCAAGTGGACAACATAAGTCCTGGTTTTAGTGGGAATGGTCATTTTTGCATTTCTTTTCCCCTGACAAAGTAAATGAATAAGAATGATGTGATTTTTGCTGCACTTTGTACCAAACAAGTTGTCTGCGACACCACAATGCTTTATTTAAAATGGTATGTTGCGACACATTTTAGTTTTATCAAAAAAAAAAATGCAGCTTATACTGTTTTGACACTACACTTGACCACTTTGTGATTTTGATACCATTGCGATTAATTGTTAGCCCTACTTAAAATGCAATGATGAATGTATTTTTCAAATGGGTTACTAATTGGTAGCTATTTTGACAATCAGTCATTTAAGTTATTTTGTAATTCAACGTTTGCCGGTCACGCCATCTGAATTTTGAGGATTTTCTGCTTCTATTTATATTTTTGTGTTAGGCTGGTCTGACAAAAGAAGACATGATCTTACACTCTGGGTGGCCATTTTTCATGATTCATTAATTCATAAAGGAAGAAAAAAAATAGCAGAATGATCTATTGTGAAAGTAAATATTAGTGCAGTCCTACACAATGGTAGTCATGAGAGTAATTCAAAAAATGTCACAACAGTGTAACGATGAAAAGGTGAGCCCACTCAACAGCTTAGATGGCCTTCCTACCTTGTTCAATCCTACTGGCCAAAAACACCATTTCTCCTTGGGCTGCCAGCTGATGAATGGACAAAGCTGAGAGGAAAAAACATGCAAGTGTAACAATTACAATTTATCAATTCATGCTAACATTTATTAAATTTAAGTTAAAACAACTACAGTACTTACAATGCACCAGAAGAGGTGTGGAAGAAACCTCATTGCCACGGTGTTTATTGGTGAGTGTGGTGGACTGTTTGATGGGGGAGAAGTGTTTGGTGGTGGATGGGGTGTAAACGTGACGCACTTGTATTCCCGGTGAAGGAGAGGTCTGGATATTGCACTCAGCTAAAAGAAGGAAAAACAATGCATTAGATAGTTATTAGCTATAATAACAAAAATGATAATAATATAGATTTGTCAAACTAAAACAGAAATATACTAAACACTAATAACCAACAATAAAACATGAAAACATAACAATAAAACATTATTAAAGACAATGAAACACCAAAAAGGGCAATGACAAAATATTACAAAAAGGATTAAATGTTACACATATGCCTGTCTGTTCAGGTGGTTTTGTAAAAGCGTTTTGAACTGAGGTGTTGACTGAGCTTTCTGACTGGAAGGAGAAGCTTTGTTCCAAAGCATTGGGGCAAAAACAGAAAACAACATATTCCCCTTTGATTTAAGCCTGAACTATTGGACCTTCAACTGAATCTCTGACCTGCTGAGTCAAAATGTGTTGAAACTCCTAAGATGTAAAACAAAGCCAGACAATGTAGAGATTTCAAAGTTACCAAGAGGATCCTACATTGAATTCTATTTTAAATGGAAAGCCAGAGTATTTTATCCTGGACTAAAGTTAAGTGTTTGTAAGTAACCTTGCTGCTGAGTATTGAGCTGTTATGATGACCAGCTAATCAGATGATCAGTTTGGAAACAGATAAACAGAGTTCGATCTCCTTCTTACCTTTGAATAAAACGGAAGCCACCTCCAGATCAGAGTTCACCTGGTCCTGGATGTTCTTGCTGTCCTCCTCGTTGAGCGACTTGACAAATCTTGAGCAAACATTCATGTCAAAGCGGTTGGGCAGGATGAACTTGATGCCCATGGCGACATTCTGGGTCGATGTGTCGTCTGGGCTCGCACCCACCGATTGCTCAGTCTTTATGGCACTCAGGTCAGGCATCACACAGATGCCCTCCATGTCCTCAGAGACCAGAGGACACTCCGCGGTCCCATCGGAGGCCGACCCGGTCACGTTGTCCATCCTCTCGTCGCTCACCGAGTTGTCACACCGAGACTGAACTGAAGTCACTGCACGCCTGAAACACGGAGGCATTAAAAGTGAAACCACAAACCGATAGAAACAGCACTTTGTGTCAGCGTCACCCGCATTAACTTTGACTGTAGTAACTGGACACGTGCAAGGATGAAAAACTACAACCGATGCTAACTGTTAAATACCCAACAACGACCTGCTGTTAGCCGCCAGTTAGCATGCTAGCTATTGTTATCGTAACCTTCCGTCAGTCACACCGACTGTCCGGCTTTACGACAAGTTTAACACGGAAACACAATAAACATAAACCACAACAAAGAATACTTTCCTAAAATGAAACGTTTCTTACTCGATAGGACATTGTTTTTCTTAAATAACCTCATACAACCATCGCTCTTCTATCGGTGTTTTGATAGATTTTGCACATGCGCGGTTAGTCGTCCTTAGAACAGTGGGTGCATCCACTACTACCGTCCCCATATAAGGTTCCGGCACTACCCTCGGTGCATTCTGTTTTATTTAGTTAAATTCACTTTAGCTTAGTTAAATTCAACTAAATGTTCTTTTATTTATATATTGTATACATCAGAGGCGTTGTTAGGCTCTTTCCATTTGGGGGGATTTAGCCCAGTCCAACAATCTTGAGATTTCAATCGGATAATTGTACTATTTTCAGGTCGTTTTAGAGTAACTGAGTATAAAATGTGAGACATTGTGCTCTTGGCAAAGTAAGGTCATCTCACTGTCTTTCTGTCCTTGTGCCCATGTTCTACATTAATATCACATGAGTGCAGGCTTGCTAGACCAGTGGTTCTCGGTGATGTTCCTTGGAATTAGTTTTATTTCTATGATGTGCATTGCTGGAGTCATATGTAATGGTGTGTCTTAGAAGTACTTGTTTTCATAAATTTACTTCAATCTTAATTTGGTTGAACAAATAGTACAGGAGAAGGATTCAGGTGCTGGTGAGAGAAAAACTCACCCATAGCACAATGCCCCAAATATAGAATCATTTTTAATCAGACCTAATCTGCTGCCTGTGTTGCTGACAAAAAATGCTCTTCATAGCCTAATGAGAACCTATCCGACCATAGCAACTTAGAATAAAACAATAAAATGTGTTTTCATTGCTAATCAGCAGCCTGTTGCCATATTTTGGTCGTTATTTTAATGATCAGAGAGGCTGTATGTAGCTATGGGAAGCATCCATATGCACAATATTGGTACTGCTGCAAATTCCCTTTTTGTGAGACTGAAATAAATTGTCCGTAATAAATCACTTGACATGACAGAAACATATTTATAACTTTAGTAAACATATCAGTTTAACCCGACATTTTTAATATTGATCAACAACATTATATTTTTGTAATGTATGATTTAAATGACAGATGAATAGCTTTGGTGATTTTTTTTAATGAAAAAAAAAAAGAACTCCAGGGCTATTCATAAAATATTCTGAGCTATAGTCTTGGACGCTCCGGCCTATTGAGGCCCCTGATAAATATTCACTACGCAGATGTTATTCCATTGTCTGTAAGTATGATGAATACCCAGTTGATTGTTGTGTAATCAGCATGTCAGTGTAGGTTTGTGTACCATCTTTCTTTTTGTGTAGTTTAAAACAACAGACTACTTTACAATTTTAATAACTTCAGTATGTTGTCCTGGACCATGCTGTTGGATTGTTATTAATATACTGTTGCAAAAGTGGATTCATGGAACTCGTTAGGAAAATGACCCAAATCCAAAATGAACCCATTAAAGTGTTTACATGAATTATTGTCTTTACACACTTGTTCATAAATATACTGACATAAAAAATAGATTCGTATTTATTATTTCTTCACCCATCAGTATTATTATTATTATTTTTATTTTATTTTATTTCTTGCACTGTCATACATGCTCTGTGATGTTGTCAAGGAATGTTTGTACTGTGTTTTTCATAAATAAAAATAAAGTTAAAAAAAAAAAAATAGATTCAACATATTCTCTATGTGGCCCTGTGATGGGCTGGTTACCTGTCCAGGTGAACCTGCCTTCACCCTGAGTCCGCTGGGATAGGCTCCAGCCCCCCTGTGATCCTGCAGAGGAAGAAGCAGTGTATGGATGATGGATGGATGGATGGATGGATGGATGTGCATTTACATTACAAAAGGAAATGTTATTAATTTTCCTTCTGTGCAAACCTCCTGGTTATCTCACGTGTTTAACTTGAGGTCAATTTAACATTGCACTAAATTACATGAATATTTGGTTCTCAAAAATTCTCATGTTAATACAGAAACTAGGGAACTGGCTTTTAGTTATTATGTTAGACATAAGTGCAACAATGCACAGAAAAATCCCAAAAATTATGTAAGCCATTACCTTTTTGTCATTTACTATAAATCCATTTATGTTGATGTCTTTGGTTTGTTTGTTGGATAATGTATTAATGTATGTCGTGTACTTTTACAGTTCTATATGTTGTGATCAGGGCATCTTTATAAAATAGACTTTGCTCTTAGTGGCTCTGCCTGTTTAAATAAAGGTTAAACAAACAATGATTGGATTCCATGAAATGAAAGTACAGTTTGAAATGTGACCAGTGTCAGCTGTTGGTGAACATTTTTTAGAAAAATTGACAAAACCAATATGTAGTTGTTTTTGTGCTGATGTAAAGCAGTTTTAAAACGTGCAGTCATTGTCAAATTGAAGGATGTGCAACTGTAGCACCCGCAGCTGGATCCTTTTTTCACTTTTAAATAAACATCATCATTGCCAGTAAGGGTGAAGGATTTCACAGGACACAGCATGACTGTATTCAAAATAAAGTGGAAAAAGAATGACAAATGCATGAAAAGTTATCGAGTGGAATGAAAATGAAAACAAACAACATTAATCTTTTTAGAAATATATCGTAAAATTTGCTCCAACTCAGCCAGAGGGGTTAGAGTAGGACTACATAATATTTTGAAGACTTGTTTGGTGCTGAAGTTGAGCTTGTCCAACTGATTTTCAGTCATTCATTCTTTTCATTGTTGATGTCAGCTTTGAGAAGATTTGTACCCACTTGACTACTGAATGAATGAAGCGTGGAAATGCAAGCGGTTGTCATCTTCTGCTGTCTTGTGTTTATGGTTGCAATGACAGGTTTACTGTGTTCAGTGTCTGCTGTGATGCTGAGACTTGATCAGGTGAAACTGGTTGTGTGATGGTAGCTTTGAGTGGTTCAGTTCACCGAAGGTCAGAGACACAGAAGAGTCCTTCTCTGTGGTATCAACAACAGGAACAATATTCTACATAGTTTGTCTTGATGCAGATGAATCTGACGCTTAGTCTTTACCTTTATGTTCAGTGTCAACAGTAGCAGCTAAGATGGTGGAAAAGTACCTTACATTTCCTGGCTTTACATTACAGCCAAGTTACTTTCTTTGAGAGAAAATGGAGTCAAAAATGATAAACAAATGGCAAACACAAAACAACGTATGTTTATTTCTTTGGTTTTAGCTTCCCAGGCCTCTAGATCACATTCTTTACATGTAAGAAGCTAATACACACCTATTTTGTCCAGCAGTAAACTACAATATCGCAAGTGAGTACAGTAAATGGTTAGTAAGACAAAAAAGTAATTTCTGAATTACTAAAGAGGTGATGCTAAATGTAAAAGCTGGTGTAGCATACAGCATGTTTGTACGACACTGCTTTCTCTGTTTTACTTGTTAAAGTCTAGGTAACTTTCTTTCAAGTCAGATGATTATATTTACTTTTTTCATTCACACTGAACAGCAGCTCAGGTGGCAGAATATGACAGGAGAACAAGAAGTAATAGGTAGTAAAAAAAGATATATATATCTTTAAGTCCCTAAATAAATAGTAAATGGACAAACCAATTCACACAACGACATGAATGAGATTTCATATCAGATGCTCACACTCATCATTTTTTTGCTCACAACGAACAGCAGCTAAGTTGACAGAATACGAAAGAGAACAATAAATTATGGTTAGTAAGTCATGAATAATATTTGAATAGCTAAGGAAAAGGAAAAAAAAACAGGTGTGGTGTATTATATTGCTTGGTTAATGCATACATGACTTTGTCTTATTGGAAGTCTGTTGAGCAACAGTAGCTATAGAAAGTATTCATCACTTTTTATTGCTGTTCAATTTAATTTTGACTTTTTAAACAAGAATTTACCAAAAAAAGATTTCAACGTCAATTAATTAAAACCAAAAAACCTAAAATGATTACGCATTCACCACCTCTAAGGTTAAGAAATAACCTATCACCACATGACGTTGATATGGAAATGTTACTTCTAAGGCTTTTGTTAAAACTGAAAGCAAAAACACTGAAATTAGACAATTTGTGAGAGAAAGCAAAGAAAGACAAAAACAAGAATATCAATCACTCAAAGAGAGATTGTGTTGCATAACTGAAATCCCATGAAGGGCTGATTTTGTGCTACTGGTGTGTTTGAAAGGTCAAGAGAGGCTTTGGAGGGTGAATTTGTTCGAATAAAGAAAATACCAACAATAATTCATCAGCTGTTTTTCTTGGACACTATATGGAATGTCTTTTGAAGGAGGGGGGAAAAAAAGGCCTGATTGAAACAGTCTGACGGCAGCTATGCAGGGGGAGGAACCCCTCTGGTTCTCTAGTGTGGGTGTTTTGTATCTCACATATTACTGGTTTTGTTTCCTGTTGTTTGATGGAAAAAAAGAGACAACAATGTTTGTCCTGAGGCCTTTTTGTGCAGTTGTTTTTACTGTTTACTTGTTTGTTTTCTTTCAGTCTCTAATGAGGAGGTTGAGTGTTGTGGCCCGTCCGCCGGGCTCGCTCTGATGACACCAGGGGGTCTTGGGAATGAAAAGCTTCCAGGTCAGTTGCGTTGAGGAAGTTGCCTCGTTTTGTAGAGCTCAAGATGGCGTGCTGCTCTGGTCTCAGTGTGAGCCTCGATGTGCGATGGGTTACAGGGTGGACTGTTCTCGCCATCTGCAGGACACATGGATCACATGCACTGACCAGAAAATACACCACATGACTACAGCTTATCTATCTGAAAGTTTAGTGAGACTGAAGATGATGTGTGAGAGATGTTATCTGGAAAACCTCCACAGAAGGGCAGCATTGTATATTCATTCGTTTTTTAGTTACTTCTACACATTCGCCAACAGATGGCACCATAGCATCACATGTTACAGTCTTGAAAGTATCGCTTTGTTTTTCTCCCAAATGGCCTGTAATCCTTTCATCTCCCTAATTAAGAAAGACGCAGTTTCCAGTGGACACAGTCAAATTAACTGACATTGCTGACTGCGTTAAAAGTGCGTCAGTATTGTTGCAGCCTGTCAGCTGTGACCTCATTTCATTTAATCTGTGGCTCATTATCGGTCAGTGAGATAAGTCTGGGAGCAGCAACGGTGGGAAAGTCTTCTTGCTTCTCATTAATGTGTGA